ATCAAGAAGCTAACAATCTGTACCAACACAACATCCATCCACAAGCTAACTAGTCATCAAATACTAAAATCAATATGCTCATCAATCAAACAAGAAACAATTCAGAATTGAAAACCTTATCTTTAACCCATTGGGCAAATTGCTCAGTGTGGGTTTTCCACAGTAAGGTTTCATTTCTGGCACATCGAGCATCATTAGCCTGTGATTCTTCCAAATGCATCCTGATTTTGACATTATGAAAATATAATAATCAGGATGAAAATATAATAAGCAGTAGATGAAACAGAAATGGTAAACTCTTACCCAACATATGGCTCCATTGATGCCATGTTCATTAGCACATAGCGATGTGCAATGTCTCTATCTTTATCTGAAAGGATAACATCTACACCCTTCTGCAGAGGTCGACCTTCAACCACGACTCTATCATCCTCAATATCTTCATTGCGATTAATAGTTTCCTTAACCGGTACTGAATCTTGAAGGAACTCTAAACAGAAAGCAACGCATTCTCCAGCTAAATAACCCTCAGCCATACATGCTTCTGGCCTAGCATGATTCTTGACAAAAGCCTTTAGTGTTTTCATGTACCTATAACTCAGTAAAGAAATATGAATATTAGCCAAACATCATTCAAGTTTGTATGTACATAATATGAACATGAGTACATCAAACCTTTCAAATGGATACAACCAACGAAAGTGTATTGGTCCTCCTAAACGTGCCTCTTTCGCAAGATGGATTGGAAGGTGGAACATGATATCAAAAAGAGATGGAGGGAAGAAGCGCTCCAGTTGACATATTGTTTCCACAAAATCTGTCACCAATGCTATGAGTTTCTCCGGGTCGATGACACGCTGACACAACCTGTTGAAATAGCTACACAATCTATTAATGGCAATCCGGGGACCCCTATGTAAGAGCCCTCTTAATGCAGCTGGTAACAAGTTTTGCACAAGCACATGATGATCATGCGACTTTAAACTGCCAATATTTGGAGGGTTAACTGAAACACTATTAGC